ATATATATATATATATATATATATAAGGCTTCACTTGCATAATCGCCATTACTTTTTTCTGTCTCATCTCTCATATATTCGTTGGCACTATTTTACAAGCGACGTAATATGGTATATCTTAATTTAAACGATTTTACGTTCAACGGAAACACCATCCTTTAGGTACATAAATCGAACGACGTCGGATTGCGTGCTAAGAGATATTGGAACGTCGCGATATTATTTCAAACAGCTTGTTCTTTTTTGTTTTGATCGTTTAAACAATAAAATATTACGGACTTCTGAATACAAGTTATCCATTTATTTTAATCCAAGCAGCTCCGATACATTAATATCACAGAAGACGTCGTTTGAACATATATCTTTTTTTTTATGTATCAAATATCCATGAAAGTAGGCAATGAAGCGAATTTTTCGTCCACCGGTTTCACCAGTTCGTACTTTTTGGTGATTCCACCAAGCTTGTTTAGTTGTTTGACTAAACGCCATATATCGACTTTACGTGAGACTATCAATTTTCTTTCATCCTTCGCACATGAATTTAGGTTCATTTTTTCTGCGATTCTGTAACATGTGTATTATTAAATTTCAGCGGCATTTCTTACAAACATTAGGTAAGCTACAAGCGCCACATACTGATAAATCAGCGTTCTGTCCTCTTTAGGAAAGTCCAGAAACACAATGTCGCATTTCAAAATATTGTCCGTTTGTAAGAGTCTTTCACATACAGCTATTATTTTGTGCATCTTTTTTATTTTCTGGTCACAACCTTCTTGGCTTATTTGTGTCTCTACTCTAAAAATAAAAAGATGAAAATTTATTAGTAAAAGAAAGATAAACGAACAAGAATTCTTTTTATATAAATCAAGGAACAATGTCGTTGTCTATACTAACATCGGAGATATGAGTTCCACGGTACCCTGATCCGATTTTCCAAAACTATCGCCGGGCCAGTCCACAATCAATTTCTTTTCAGTGCGTATAGAACCAGACAAATCGTCGTCGGGAAGCGATTCCTTCTTTATTTCCACTGCTGTTACAACTGGATCTATACCCCAACCTTCTGTAACCTGGATTTTACAATATACAGACGTATCTTAAATAACGTTCACTATAATTGTATAACGTTATCTTTGTAAAACCGATTAGATAAGTCCTGAACCATTTTTCTCTACAGTGGTCAATGAAGCAATAATTTTGCAATAACAATTGTTTCATTGAGTTTTTTTTATTTAGTTTTTTATTTTGAGTTTTTTTATTTAAAATAAAATCATTCAGGACTTTTCATTTAAAACATATAACAATATTTAAAAAATATATATAACAAAAACTATCTTATAAAAGAATGATAAAAACATTATATCTGTGTTGCATTATATACAGGTAATTGTTGATAATGCATTCTTGTGTAAATGGAGCGAATTAAACTGAATCAAAAAGTGTACATCAAAGTATTGTACTATTTTGTGATTCTTATCATAGTTAATGAGAAATTAAATTATATAGGTCTGCTAATGCGCGCGATTTCGCGATAAGAAATGGTCCAATATTTATCAGTCATTAGGCACGTTGCGAGACTTGCGAAGAGCGCTGTATAAATAAATATGCTTGTGTATAACTTGTTTTTGTAGAAAAACCCCTCCCCTAAATTGCCTCGTCTAAATTATAAAAGCTGGACTGTCTCTTGTCACTAAATGTACGCGCTCGCACGCTCATTAGATCTTTATAACTTAATTTCTATTGCGAGAATCGCAAAATGGTACGATACTTTTCAGTTTAGTCCGTTCTATTGGCGGGCAAATGTTTCAATAATGATCGAACTTCCTGTACTACAATAATTAATTACAGAATCACAAATATCAGTGATACGCTAGGAGATCTCTTTTCAAGATGTTCCAATTCAGATAAAGATATATATTTTTTAATTACTTTAACCGTATAGCAGTACTTTCGTAATTTTTCTAATGCAGCATTGGCTGCTGATGTTCTGGCCTCTTGTTTACTTAACGATAAGTTGGTACTACAACTCAATTCCTGTGAGCCAATTTTCAAGCAGCATTCCCTGAAAAAAAAATATAATGAGAAATATCTCATGTGAAACGATTTTGAACAACTATATACACACATTTATGAAAATTACTACGTGTTTATATATGTATGAAGCAATTTTCTTTAAAATACAAAAAATATGCTTACCACCAATTTTCTTTCGTAGAGTAACTGCACTTTAGGACTTTGCCAGATAACCTAACAGAAATTTGCAGCGTATGAAATGCATTATCACTCAGTCTATCCCATAGAACAATGTCTCTGTACGGATTATCTTGATCTTTACGTGAAATATCTGCCTCTATTTTTAATCGTTTAGGTGGCATTTCTTCGAAGTGTGGCTCGGTTTTTAATTTATTTACTTTAACCGTACAGCAGCACTTTCGTAATTTTTCTAATGCACTGTCGGCTGCTAAGATTCTGGCCTCTCCTTGACTTAAGCTGGTGCTGCAACTCAATTTCTGCTGCAATTTCTGTGATTTAATATTTACAGAGCATTCCCTGAGAAGAAATATAGCGAGAAATATCTCATGAAAAACAATTTTTGCATTACATACATATAATTAAGAATGTTAAATTTATTTTATATACACACGCGCGCGCGCATATATATATATATATATATATATATATATAAAGAAAATTACTTTATATATATATATATATATATATAAAGTAATTTTCTTTATATTACAAAAATATGCTTACCACACTTTTTCTTTCTGACAGTAATGCCACGCTAGGGTTTTACCAGATACAGAAGCTGAAACTTCCAACGTAGTAAATACACTGTCACCCGGTCTTTCCAATAAAACAATGTCCTTGTACGGATTATATTGATTTTCAAGTGAGATCTCTCCCTCTGTTTTTAATCTTTCAGGCTGTATTTCTTCAAAATGTGGCTCTGTTTTTAATTTTTTAGACTGTAATTTTTCGAAATACTGTTTTAAAAAATCGGTCGGTTTCACCAGCTCGTACTTCTTGGTAACTCCACCAAGTTTGATCAATTGTTTGATAAAACTCTGTGCATTGACTTTACGTGAGACTAGCAGTTTTTCTTTTTCCTTATTAAGCTTACGTGCAGATAGACCTATGCTTTGTGCGATTCTGTAAACATATTATTATCAAACTTATTGTTAGCAACATTTCTGACAAATCTCAAGTAACTTACAAGCGCCACATACTTTCGAATTAGCACTCTGTCTTCCGAAGGAAAGTTCAGAAACACAATATCGTTTTGCAAAATATCGTTCTTTTGTAAGAGATGTTTAAACACTCTTCGACATAGGGCTATTATTTTGTACACGTTAGAATTGATTGTTTTTAAGCCAAGAACTGCTTGATTTATTTGTGTCTCGACTCTAAAAATAAAAAAAATTAAAATTTACAAGCAAAAGAGTAGTAAGAGAATAAGAATATTTTTTTATAAACCGTGTCATTTCCCACTAACATCGCAAACATGGGATCCATAGTATCTTGCTCTGATTTTCTAAGATCATCCCCAGCCCAGTCTATCATGAATTTCGTTTCAATGGAATTAGCTCCATTCCAATTGTAGTTGGGAAGCGATTCCTTCTTTGTTTCCACTGCCGTTACAACTACATCTATACCCAAGCCTTGTTTAACCTGGATTTTACAATATAGATGTATCTTAAATAACGTTCACTAATCATATAGCATTATTCTTTGTAAAGAACTAATTCGAAAAGTTCTGAACCATTTTTTTCTACAATGCTCAACGAAGCAGTAATTGTTGCGACAGTGATCGCTTCGGTATTTAGAAAAAAAAATATCGTTGAGGACTTTTCAGATTCAGTATTTTTAAAGAATAACGCTATATAATTAGTGTGTGCTGTTTAAGATATACCCTGTATAATAATATTTTTAAAGAAATACAACATAAATTGTACCTTATACAAAAATAATAAAAAACATCTGTGTGTTTTGATAATTATTGAGAAAGCGCTCGTATGCAAATAGAGCGAATTAAACTAAATCAAAAAATACCATATTATTTTGCGATTCTTACAGTTAACGAGAAATTAATTTATAAAGGTCTGCGCCCAATTTTGCGATAAGAGAAGACCAACTTTTGGAATCATTAGGCACGTCGCGAGACTTGGGAAGAGCACTCTAAACAACAATGTGCCGCTTGTGCATAACTAGTTTTTTTTTACAGAAAAATCTCATTGTCACGCCACTCGCCTAGAAATTGTAAACGTTGAACTAACTCTTGTCGCCAAATGTATGCGCTTATTAGATCTTTATAACTTAATTTCTTTATAATTAATGCAAAAGTCACACAATGATATATAATTTTTTTCTTGAGATTAATCCGTTCTATCGGCATGCAAATGCTTCAATAATTATCAGACATCTTGTATATAATTAATTGCAGAATCACACAAATATCAGTAATATATTAAGAGTATCTCTTCAAGATATTTCTATGCAGATACATTTATTTTTTATTTACCTTGACCGTATAGCAGTACTTTCGTAATTTTTCTAAAGCAGTGATGGCTGCCAAGGTTCTGGCCGGTCTTTTAATTAGTTTGTTGAATTTGTTGGTTTTACTGTAACACCAGTCACTACTCACTTTCTTTGAGTCAATATATATAGAACATTCACTGAAAAGATATGAGAAATATCTCATGAGAAACAATTTTTGCACCACTAGATATATACATATATTTATGAATTTTAAGTATATTTTATATATATGTATATACAGTGTGGCTGAAAAATATGGCATGGTTAATATTTTGGAAACTAAGTATCCAACGTCAAACCCAACGTCAAACTGACAAAATCATTAAAGATTAGATTCTTTTAAGCCCTACAACTGTTGTCAATAACATTTTTCTAACAAAAAAAATGCTTATTTTTCAAAACATTAACCATGTCATACTTTTCGGACACCCTGTATATAAAGCAATTTTTTTTTTATACAAAAATATGCTAACCAGCTATCTTCTGTCTTAGTGTACTTCACCTTTAGGGTTTTACCAGACATACCAGCTGAAATTTTCAGCATCATATACTCATTCACCCGGTCACCCAGTCTTTCCCATAGAACAATGTCTCTGTATGGATTATCTTGATCTTTAGGTGAGACATCTTCTGTTTTTAATTTTTCAGACTGCACTTCTTCGAAATATGACTCTGTTTCTGAACTATCAGATGATACATCTTCGAAATATGTATCTGTTTTTAATCTTTTAGACGGTATTTCTTCGGAGTATTGCTCTGTTTTTAATCTTTCACATGGCATTTGTTCGAAATGTGGCTCTGTTTTTAATATTTCAGACTGTATTTCTTCGAAGCAAGGCTCTGTTTTTAATCTTTCAGACGATATTTCTTCGAAGTTTGGTTCTGTTTTTAATCTTTCAGATTGTATTTCTTCAAAACATGGCTCAGTTTTTAATTCTTCATACTGTATTTCTTCGAAATACCGTCTGAATGTAGAAACTTCATAAAACTGAGAGTTTTGGTTCGCATTTGATACTGGTTTTTTTATAGCATTAGGAAGCGAGTTCTCCTCAGTGTCATCAAGTTTATCTCTTTTAAAACATTTTTTGGAAGGAGATTGATCGATAAAATTGGTTACGTTTGATATATGGTCAAGTGTATTCGATGTAGATTCCTCTGCGACAGTAGATGTTTTATCAGCGCATCCTGTAAACAAATAATGTCTCTCATATAATTATCAATGTCTCCTCACATAGATCACAAGTCATATTTAGGCTGCGTTCCGTTTTAATCACGCTCGTGTGTTGTGAGCATGTTCAACCTTGCTTAACATTTGATAAATAGTAAAGATAAAACGTCATAACTCACAATTTTTCTTTATACCTTTTACCTTCGAACCAGTTGTCTCCGATGCCTCCATAAATGTTGTTTGTAATTTTTCCTTTTCTTTTTCTCTATATTTGGCCGGGATGTCCTGCGACAATTCCTTTACAAAATCCATTGTTCTTTGCGGGTAACTGCAATGAGTAGTGAAAACTTTATAGCAAACTTATGTCTAGGAAATATCTAGTATTCGTCGAATTTGTATCATGTAAAGACACAAAAACGACATATCTCTGTCGGGACAGAGTCGGGTATTGCTATAAACTGTATCCTAACCACAGTATATAACTGATTTTGCTGCATTTTGTATATTTCAATTATAATAACGCATGCGCGTATGACCACGAGGCATGCCGCCATCTATGTGATTATATCCATAATTCGCTACATCGTGTCGATATGACAGATTTCGTTTCAATAATGACAAACTGCTATATAATTAATAATATTAATTTCTCTCGCTTCGCGAAGCAGAACGACTCATTTTTTCTGCTACATTCGTTCGTTTCGTGTAAAAACGCGTTGAGTAAGTCTATTGTGGATCGTTTAATAATAAAATATTATGGAAAGACTTCCGAATACAATTATCCATTTATTTAACAATCCAACTGCAGCTATAATACATCAATGTCACAGAAGGTGCGAACACGTCGTTTGAACACATAACGTCTTCCTTTTTTATGTTCAAATGTCCGTGGAATTTGGCTATGAAACAAATTTTTCGTCGGCCGGTTTCACCAGTTCGTACTTCTCGGTGACTCCACCAAGTTCGTTCAGTCGTTCAATCAAACGCCATACATCGATTTTGCTTGAGACTATCAATTTTCGTTTATCCTTACCCTGGCTGCGTGATTTTAGGCCCATTGTTCGTGCGATTCTGCAACATAATTGTTAAATTTCAGCGGCATTTCTTACAAACGTCGGGTAACTTGTAAGCGGCACACATACTGATGGATCGTCTCTCTATCTTCTTTGGGAAAGTCCAGAAACACAATGTCGTTTCGTACACTATGGTCCGATTGTATGAGATCTTTAAACAGTTTTCGACATTTGGCTCTTATTTCGTGCACGTTATAAGAATTTGTTTTTAGACCAAGACCTTCACGATTTATTTGCGTCTTGACTCTGAAAATAAAAAGACGAAAATTTACAAGCGAAAGAAAGATAAGAGAATAAGAACTTTCTTTTTTTTTTTAATTTAGAAAACAAGGAACAGTGTCGTTGCCCACTAACATCGCAGACATGGGTTCCACGGTACCCTGCTCCGATTTTCCAAGACCACCTCCAGTCCAGCCCATCATTGTCATCAGTTTCTTTCCAATGCAATTAGATCCTTTCCAATCGTCATCAGGAAGAGATTTCTGCTTTTTCTCCTGCTTCAGTTCCTCTGTCGTTACAGTTACCTTTGGCGCCGTACCTAAGTCTTGTTTCACCTGAATTTTACAGTATATGTAACAATATTTTTAAAAAGATATACAACAAAAACTGTACTACAAGAAATCTCTTTTCAAGATTGCATGACCGTGTAGATAAATATAGATACATGTATTTTTTTTATTTACCTTAACCGTATAGCAACACTTTTGTAATTTTTCTAATGCAGTGCTGTTTGCTATACTTTTGGCTATTTTCTTGTTCAAGTGGGTGCTACTACTCAATTTTTGTGAGCCAATATTCACAGAGCATTCCCTAAAAAGAAATATAATGAGAAATATCTCATAAGAGATAATTTTTGCAAGTATATCTATTTACGAAAGTTATGTTTATATTTATATATTATTTATGAATATGAAATGTAAAATATAATGAATGTTTAATATATATATATATATATA